TTCCTAACGCTGAGGACAAGGTTCCTCACTCTGAGGACATCGTTCCTCACGCTGAGGACAAGGTTCCTGACGCTGAGGACAAGGTTCCTCACGCTGAGGACAATGTTCCTCACGCTGAGGACAAGGTTGCTCACGCTGAGGACAAGGTTCCTCAAGCTGAGGACAAGGCTCCTAACGCTGAGGACAAGGTTCCTGAACCTGAGGACAAGGTTCCTGAACCTGAGGACAACGTTCCTCACTCTGAGGACATCGTTCCTCACGCTGAGGACAAGGTTCCTAACGCTGAGGACAAGGTTCCTCACGCTGAGGACAATGTTCCTCACGCTGAGGACAAGGTTCCTCACGATGAGGACAAGGTTACTCACGCGAAGGACAAGGTTCGTCACGCTGAGGACAAGGTTCCTCACGATGAGAACAAGGTTCTCACGCTGAGAACAAGGTTCCTCACGCTGAGGGCAACGTTCCTAATACTGAGTACAAGGTTCCTAGTACTGAGGGCAAGGTTCCCAACAAGGTTCCAAACGCTGAGGACAAGTTTCCTCACGCTGAGGACAAGGTTCCTTACGCTGAGGACATGCTTCCTCACGCTGAGGACAAGGGTACTGACGCTGAGGACAAGGTTCCTCAAGCTGAGGACAAGCTTCCTAACGCTGAGGACAAGGTTTCTGAAGCTGAGGACAACGTTCCTAACGCTGAGGACAAGGTTCCTCACTCTGAGGACAACGTTCCTCACGCTGAGGAGAAGGTTCCTAACGCTGAGGACAAGGTTCCTCACGCTGAGGACAATGTTCCAAACGCTGAGGACAAGGTTCCTCACTCTGAGGACAAGGTTACTCATGCGCAGGACAAGGTTCGTCACGTTGAGGACAAGGTTCCTCACGCTGAGGACAAGGTTGCTCACGCTGAGGACAAGGTTCCTCACGCTGAGGATAAGGTTCCTCAAGATGAGAACAAGGTTCTCACGCTGAGAACAAGCTTCCTCACGATGAGGACAACGTTCCTAATACTGAGGACAAGGTTCCTAGTACTGAGGGCAAGGTTCCTAACGAAGTTCCAAACGCTGAGGACAAGTTTCCTCACGCTGAGGACAAGGTTCCTCACGCTGAGGACATGGTTTCTCACGCTGAGGACAAGGGTCCTCACGCTGAGGACAAGGTTCCTCAAGCTGAGGACAAGGTTCCAAACGCTGAGGACAAGGTTCCTGAAGCTGAGGACAACGTTCCTAACGCTGAGGACAAGGTTCCTCACTCTGAGGACAACGTTCCTCACGCTGAGGACAAGGTTCCTAACTCTGAGGACAAGGTTCCTCACGCTGAGGACGATGTTCCTCACGCTGAGGACAAGGTTCCTCACGCTGAGGACAAGGTTACTCACCGGAGGACAAGGTTCGTCACGCTGAGGACAAGGTTCCTCGTGCTGAGGACAAGATTTCACACACTGAGGACAAGGCTCCTCACGCTAGGGAGAAGGTTTCTCACGCTGAGGACAAGGTTTCTCACGCTGAGGACTTGGTTCCCCACGCTGACGACAAGTTCCACACGCTGAGGGCAAGGTTCCTCACGCTGAGGACAATGTTCCTCACGCTGAGAAGAAGGTCCCTCGGGCTGAGGACAAGGTTTCTCACGCTGAGAACAAGGTCCTTCACGTTGAGGACAAGGTTCCTCAACCTGAGGACAAAGTCCCTCATGGTGACGACAAGGTTCCTGACGGTAAGTCAATGTTCCTCACGCTGAGGACAAGGTTCCTAACGCTAAGGACAAGGTTCCTAACAAGGTTCCTAACGCTGAAGACAATGTTCCTCACGCTGAGGACAAGGTTCCTCACGCTGAGGACAAGGTTCCTCACGGTGAGGACAATGTTCCTCACGATGAGGACAAGGTTCCATACGCTGAGGACAATGTTCCTCACGCTGAGTACAAGGTTCCTCTCGCTGAGGTCAATGTTCCTCACGCTGGGGACAACGTTCCTCACGCTGAGGACAAGGTTCCTCACGCTGAGGACAAGGTTCCTCACGCTGAGGACAAGATTCCTCACGCTGTGGACAAGGTTTCTCACGCTGAGGACAAGGTTCCACACACTGAGGACAAGGTTCCTCCCGGGGAGGACAATGTTCCTCACGCTGAAGACAATGTTCCTCACGCTGAGGACTGTGTTCCTCATGCTGACGACAAGGTTCCTCACGCTGAGGACAAGGTTCCTAATGCTGAGGACAAGGCTCCTCACGGTGAGGACAAGGTTGCTCACGCTGAGGACAAGGTTCCAGACGGTGAGGACAAGGTTACTGACGCTCAGGGCAAGGTTCCTCACGCTGAAGGCAATATTTCCTCACGCTGAGGACAAGGTTCCCCACGCTGACGACAAGGTTCCTCACGCTGAGAACAAGGTTCCTCACGCTGAGAACAAGGTTCCTCACGCTAATGACAAGATTCCTTACGCTGAGGACGAGGTTCCTCACGGTGAGGACAATGTTCCTCACGCTGAGGACAAGGTTCCAGACGCTGAGGACAAGGTTTCTCACGCTGAGGACAACAATCTTGGGCAAAAGTTCGTAGAACGATTCGCAATTTCTTAATATACTTGGGTTTTAAAATGATTTTGCACCTCCCCCCGCTCCCCCCTTTCAATGTTGCTCTCCCACATTTCTAGTACACGTACAATTTCGTTGTAGAGTAGGTCAGATCATAAATATACACGAAATGACAACATTGAATGGAGGGGAAGGGGGGAGGCCTTAAAAATGCATAAACATTTATCGTCATCCTACGGTTTATCTGGCCAAGATTGTTGTCCTCAGCGTGAAGAACGTGAGGATCCTTGTCCTCAGCGTGAGGAACCTTCTCCTCAGCGTTAGAAAACTTGTTAGGAATCTTGTCCTCAGCGTGAGGAACCTTGTCCTGAGTGTTAGGAACCTTGTTAGGAGCCTTGGCCTCAGCGTGAGGAACCTTGTCCTCAGCGTGAGGAACCTTGTCCTCAGTGTGAGGAAGCCAGTACTCAACGTGAGGAACCTTGTCCTCAGCGTGAAGAACATTGTCCTCAGCTTGACGAACATTGTCCTCAGCATGAGGAACGTTGTCCTCAGCGTGACGAACCTTGTCCTCAGCGTCAGAAACCTTGTCCTCAGCGTGGGGAACATTGTCCTCAGCGTGAGGATCCTTGTCGTCAGCATGTGGAACATTGTCCTCATCGTGAGGAACCTTGTCCTCAGCGTGAGGTATCTTGTCCTCAGCGTGAGGAACCTTGGTCTATGCGTGAGGAACCTTGCCCTCAGCGTCAGGAAGGCTGTCCTCAGCGTGAGGAACCTTGTCCTCAGCTTGACGAACATTGTTCTCAGCATGAGGAACCTTGTGCTCAGCGTGACGAACCTTGTCCTCAGCGTCAGAAACCTTGTCCTCAGCGTTAGGAACATTGTCCTCAGCGTGAGGAACATTGTCCTCAGCGTGAGGAACCTTGTCGTCAGCATGTGGAACATTGTCCTCATCGTGAGGAACCTTGTCCTCAGCGTGAGGAACCTTGATTTCAGCGAGAAGAACCTTGTCCTCAGCGTGAGTAACCTTGTCCTCAGCGTGAGGAACCTTGCCCTCAGCGTGAGGAACCTTGTCCTCAGCGTGAGGAACCTTGATTTCAGCGTGAAGAACCTTGTCCTCAGCGTGAGTAACCTTGTCCTCAGCCTGAGGAAACTTGTCCTCAGCGTGTGGAACCTTGTACTCAGCTTTAGTAACCTTGTCCTGAGCGTGAGGAACCTTGTCCTCATTGTTAGGAACCTTGTCCTCAGCGTGAGGAACCCTCTCCTAAGCGTAGGAACCTTGTCGTCAGCGTGAGGAACCTTGACCTCAGGGTGAGTAACCTTGTATTCAGCGTGAGGAACTTTGTACTTCAGCGTGAGTAGCCTTGTCCTCAGCTGGAGGAAACTTGTCCCCTGCGTGTGGAACATTGTGGTCAGCGTGAGGAACATTGTCCTCAGCGTGAGGTACATTGTCCTCAACCTGAGGAACGTTATCCTCAGCGTGAGAAACCTTGTCCTGGGCGTGAAGAACCTTGTCCTCAGCGTGAGAAACCTTGTCCTCAGCGAGAGGAACCTTGTCCTCAGCGTGAGGAACCTTGTCCTCAGCGTGAGGAACCTTGACCACAGCGTGAGGAATTTTTTCCTCTGCGTGAGGAACATTGTCCTCAGCGTGAGGGACCTTGTCGTCAGTGTGAGGAACCTTGTCCTCAGCGTGAGGAACCTTGTCGTCAGCGTGAGGTACCTTGTCGTCAGCGTGAGAATCCTTGTACACAGCGTGAGGAACCTTGTCCTCAGCGTGAGGAACCTTGTCCTCAGCGTGGGGAACCTTCTCCTCAGCGTGAGGAACCTTGTCCTAGGCGTGAGGAACCTTGTCGTCAGCGTGAGGAACCTTGCCCTCAGCGTGAGGAACCTTGTCGTCAGCGTGAGAAACCTTGTACTCAGCGTGAGTAACCTTGTCCTCAGCGTGAGGAACCTTGTCCTCAGCGTGAAGAACCTTGTCCTCAGCGTGAGGAACCTTCTCCTCAGCGTGAGGAACCTTCTCCTAAGCGTGAGGAACCTTCTCCTAAGCGTGAGGAACCTTGTCCTCAGCTTTTTTTTATTTTGGGATAGGTAATAGGATCTCTACATGCGTCTTGACCTGTGGTGTACTTAAATCATTATTTATCTAATGGATTACTGTTATTTTCAACGGGGTCTTGAAAGTAGACCATGCCGTGAAACGTTGTATAAAAGGTGCACGCGTTGTTTTGTGTCTCTTTTTGTCATTCCATTGTAGAAATATCGTGATTGAAGTTAGCATGTTCTGTATTAGTCCATTACCTGAGGGAGTTCTAATACTCATCTCAGGGGAACGAACGAAAATGATCGCCTATGAAAGCTTAGTGCTTTAGCTTTCAAAAAATGTCTTGGCAGACGTTCAGAACTGTAGCTTTCCTATAGAATTTCGACTTTGAAGTGACGTACTTCGAAGCAGTGAACGGCCGCCATTTTGTCTCTCAGAGAAAATCCCGCCTAAGAATATTTAGACATAAACAACCCAAAAGGTGTTAAATAAAGAAGGTCTCACCTCAAAGAATTGTAGCTGCGGGATTTATATATCTTTTGACATACTTAGAACTCTTTATTTGATCATTTCTTTAAAGTTTAAGGTAATTAAATTTTACTTTAACGTACCTCTTCCCCTTCGTTGACGAACTGTTCAGTGTATGCTGTCAATTGTTAATTAATTTAAATGAAAATTGAAAAGACTCGAAATTTTTACCAACTGTTGGCATAGGGTATATAATGAATGATGACACCCTCCCCCTCCCCCGCCTTTTTCTGTAAAGTCTTGTGACCCATCCCCTTTTTTTACCTAGCCACCCCCTCGATAAATAATGACCGGTACCTTATGTAGAATTGCAATGTTTAAGAGTTATTTCATTCCCATTGTTGCATGTGGTTCAATTAATCATTCTTCGTTTTGTTTGTTGACAAGTATCGTCCATTGGAAGTATTTTCTTTATTTCTAAACATATATAAATGAAGTATAAATTGAGGATAGTTTGTTACTGTTGATTTTAGAATTATTCATGAAAATGAGTGAAACGTTTTGTTATTTGATTTAGCGAAGTTATACACTCGCTCAACTGCCAATTTGTTCTCTTTTACGCTTTGGTATCAAAATTTTGCAAACTGTAGATCTCCTCTCTTACCTTTTAACATGTGTATTAGTCATCTTCATCGGCGCTGAGAACTGTTTCATTATCTTCAGATTGCATATTATCACAATTCAAACTGTACATCTCGGTGCACTTCAGACCTGCTTTGAGGCAGCAGCATGTATCTTCTGTACACCTGCGTTTGCAGGTGCAGGAAAGTAGCTCCATCACTTCTTCAGGAGCGGGCTTCGAACCAAGCCATATAAACTCTAAAGTGGAAGAGCTCACGTTCCAGCCATGCCCATGCGGAGAAGGGATATCAGGACACGCTTCTGTAGCTCTCCTCCAGATAGCAGCCTGATAGTTTGCACGAGACACATGCAGCCGCAGCGATGACTGACATGGCGGCAATGCTTCTGGCGCGGCCTTGCCACCTTTCGCGTAATGGAGCTCATAGCGCAATGAATCCACACTCTTACCCTTCTTTCCATATAAATGACACACAAACTCTTTTGTTGCGCTAAATGTATCATCGCTTACACTCCATTCCTTGCCAATGTCTTTCATTGTCTTCACATAGATATGATTCTTGACGAGCATCTACATTGGCCGCAATTTGCCCTTCGAAGAGAAGGCTGACACTGTGTCGCGACCTGTTAACGCATGTAGCCCCATTAAAGCCTCACAAGCTTCTTGTTTTGTAATTCCATCTGCTACTTGCCTTTCCAGTTGATCAGCAATCTCAGAGATCCCGACAATTCTACGCTTTGATCCATTTCCCTTCTGCAAGTAGCACTTGCCAAGGTTGTGGGCGTGGCCAATGAGTAGTATCATAACGTCCGTATCTTCTGAGTGGATGACACACTTGCCACCTGCATGCTTGGCGTGTAGGACCATACGGGTATCAGCCTCTTCGTGGTTGCTTCTCAGCTCTGGTACTACTCTGGCCTCTGACGAGCTGATTTTCCAGCACGTTTCCTCTTCAGTTACGTAGAGTGTTTTGTTGAGAAGCTTGTCTCGATACTGCTCCTGTTTCCATTGACCCACGAGAAACCACACTAACTCAGTTTTGTTGGCTGATAGACTCAGGATCTTGCTCCAATTCTTCACTCGGTAACTGGGCAAGATGTTCTTGTAAGTAATCCCTATTGGTCCAGTTGCACGTTTCGATCTTTCTGCATTCTTTATGGAGATATCCTTATAAATATCGAAGACAACGTCAATTCGCTTGCTGGAGTTGCTGGTTAACATTGTGAACAAACTTTCGGCTAGAACTGCAAATGTGGCTCCAGGCGGTGGTTTAAACTTCTGAAGCACAGCCATTCCGTCATAAATACTTGTAGCATCGAGTGGATAACAGTCCTTGATGAAAACTTGCTTTTCCAGTTGCTGAGCTAACTTGGCTTTGTTAGTCTTTCTTGGAAGTCCATAAGGAGCTGCTAGCGCCCAAGGTAGTGGTCCGAGAGGATATGTAAACACCAATCGCATGTCTATCTTGCGAAATTATCCCAATAACGCCATCCTCGCGAATACGTCTCGATCTAGTTTGATAGGAATTACAGCATCCTTAGAACGAACCTTCGTAATAGCTTTGAGATTCTTGAATGACTTAAGCTTGAGCTTTGTCAGAGGATCAAAAAAGGGAACACTTTCATCAGATGAGCATCGCTGTTCCACGAATTTCCTAGACGCGCTTTTTCCCTTTTCATTAGCCTGAAGTAGGTCATCTCTGACCTCAGGAGTTGCTGATATCCCGGTTGACAGGCTAATCAGGTGCACGACGTCTCTGTTCCACGGATTACAGAAAACATTTTCCAAAACGTCAACCACATTTGCTACAGCTTCCATGTCTGATCTTATATGGGAAGGTGAGAGCTCTTTGTGGGGCTTGTTCTCAGTAGGCAGCAGAGATACATACATGTTCGCGGAAGAGTCGTCTGTATGAGCTGCGCCTGGAATTGTTCAAGACCCACCGCTGAGTCGCCGCGAAATTGGCACTGAATCCGATGTAGCCGCCACTCGTCTTGCAATCCCTGTTGATCGTATTCTCGATGATCTTGTCGGCCTCGTTTTGACCAAATGGGTTACTTTTGGACATCTGTACACTGAAATCACCGACGAGAAAAGCATCATAAACCTCAGGCATGACTGTTGGCAAAGCACGCATATCATTCAGGTATGGAATTAGATCGATAGCGCGCATAGTTTTGCCGGTCGTAGGCAAATGTCCATGGTATAACTGCTTCGATACAAGAGAGATACAGTTCCCAGTTGCCCGTTCTCGTTGCGTTCATCAGATCAAGTAGGAGTTCACAGAGTTGCAAATACGTGATCCAAAATTTTGCAAGATCACTGCCATTCTGCCTTATGTCAGCTACGTGTTCCTGGAAACGGTTCTCCCATTGACGTAGCAGCTCGCTCTCCAGGACCTGCTCGATTTCGTCTTGACAAAGATTGAGCTTGAGCTGATCCAACTGCGTTTTATGGTCACTTAGCAATTCCAACGAATCCTCATGCAAGCAATCTTCAAAGTTGTCTAAAAGTAGCTTGGTCATCGCCTCATACATAATCTTGTGTAGTCTAACGCCTCTGTTATAATGCTTGCCGTTCAGAACGCTGTCAATTGAGCCTTCAGCTATCACCTCACTGTGCACAGCTACATCTCTGAGGCCAGCGTCGCCAAAACGGTTGCCGATGATTGCCAGTAGTGTCACCAACAGATGAAACCCATCCATCATTACAACTAAACCTTCAAATTGCTCTTTCTGCTTCCAAAGCACTTCCATAGATTTCGCATAGAACGCCTGATCAAATACGCAAGCTACTGCATTCAGCTGAAGCTTGTTTTTTATTTCACGTCCGCGGCAGAGTACCTCATATGCCGTCTTAAGATCTGTGGCTGGCGAGTCCAGTGTGTCGAGGTATCCGATTGTGCTTTGAATGACAGCGACTTTGTCGCGAATCTTTATGAAGGATCCGGTCCAGCTGGGAACAAGCAGCAACGGATGAGTGTTCAGCTTCCTCAGTTCGATCCACACGAGATAGTGAATGTGCAGTTTCCTTGACATTTTCTCGTAGGATGAGGTAATACCGAGGTGTTGTATGTGTGACAGGACTCCTGGACCGACCCGCCTACCTCCATAGTAATCCGAAATCTCTCTGGTAATTACATCTGCTGATAAAGATCGTTTGCATTTCCGTTTCACCGGGGGGTGGTATTGTTCACCGTCGCCCTCTAGATTCTCCTCAAATGTCTCTTGAGGCTGTCGTTTCATAACAAGAATGGAATTCACCCGGTGGGAGGTGCCGGCTCCACTCATCGTACATTCCAAGTTATCAATGTTGTCCGCTACCATGAGTGCGACGGGTAGGTTGTTGAACTGTTTGCATTCATCTGGGATAAGAACACGATTTAACGTTTGTTCGTTAATTGCTTTAAGCGCAAATTCCGTCTCGATTTCCTCAACAAGATTATAACCGATTCCATGGCCACATCTATTAATAAGTTTAACAACTTCTGTATTATTACACAAGGCTTTTACCACAGATGGAAAAAGTACACTTTTAGGCGTCTTAATTGCTCCGTTAGATACGGAGTAGACAATGTCCTGTGCTAATGAGTTCTTTAGGCGCACAATGCGGTCAGACCTACTTTTGTCTCTGTCCAATAACTGGCCAGACAAAAGGATGGTACAAATGGTATCTAACAATTCAGGAACACAGTCGGCTACCTTATCAATACCTAGATCTTTTTCTTCGGGGGCCACGCCATTGCACGGGGATGGTATTTTATTTTCTCGTTGAGAATTTTCGCTGCGTTGATTACTGTTTTTGAATTGTCATCCAAGGATGTTTGATTTGCAACGTCACTTTTAAGCTCAAAGTTTTCCACTGCGACTGTCTCTAATTTTAAGGTGGAGGGATACATCAGAACTTTATTTTGTTGGTAATTAAGAAATACTAGCTGTTCGAATTTATTAGATATCAGACGCAAGAGGTTTT